TCATTCCTCTGATAAATAAGGGACTAAGCTGAATGAAAATAAATGAATGATTTGGCTGTAACTAAATGTTTTGAATCAGTTCAAAACTGGATTCAGCTATTTATTTGCATTGTTGATTCATTTTCATTGTCACATGGATTGAGAGGTGTTGCCAGACCGTTTGTTTATGATTTAAGAATCAACTTTGTATATCCAATCACTTCAAAACTATGATACAAATAATTTTTTTTTATTTTTCACCTTTAATCGGAAAGGACAGTGGAGGTTACAGACAGGAAAGCATTGGGAGTGGAGAGAGGGGCAGGGTCAGCAAAGGACCCCGAGCCGGGAATCGAACTTGGGTCGCCGTGAGCACATGGTGCTATATGTCAGTGCACTTAATCAATAGGCTATGGGGCTGACTATACAAATGAATTTACATGGTCACTTAAAATGTTATCAAACAATCAACAATACTAATATTTATTAATCCTCATTAGCATTTGCTAATTAAAATAAAGTCCTTGACTGTTAGTTCTTGCTAATCACAGCTTAAATGTTAACATTCACGTTGAACTATAAGTATTGAATACTGTACACTGCTTATTATTAGCTTATGTTAATTAAAACTTACTTAAAACCTTATTTTAATAGCCGATTGTTCAATGCAGACATAGTAGTCTATACACAAATTAATTTACAAAACTATGTTATAAGTGCTTCACGGTGGCTCAGTGGTTAGGAAGGTCGCCTCACTGCAAGAAGGTCACCGTTTCGAGCCCCGGCTTGGTCAGCTGGCTTTCTGTGTGGAGTTTGCATATTCTCCCTGTGTTGTCATGGGTTTCTTCTGGGTTTCCCCCCACAGTCCAAACACAAGCGCTGTAGGTGATTTGAATAAGCTAAATTGGCCATAGTGAATGAGTGTGAGAGTCTATGGGTGTTTCCCAGTTCTGGGTTGCATATGGAAGGGCATCCACTGCGTAAAACATACGCTAGATAAGTTGGTGGTTCATTCTGCTATAGTGATTCCTGATAAATAAAGGGACTATGCCGAAAAAAAATGAATGAATGAAAACTATATTAATATTCAATAAGTTTTCATTAGTTCATGTATTTGCATGCAACAATAAAAAAACAATGAACAATACATTCATTTATTCATCTTCATTAGCATAAGTAATTTTAAATAAAGTCCTTGATTGTTAGTTCTTGTGCATTATTAAAATGTTAACAATTCCAAGTTTGGGTTTTATTTTTTTTTATGCAATAGCAAATGTTGAACTATAAGTATTGACTGCTGTACTGTTCATTATTAGCTCATGTTAATTAATAAACTAACTAACATTTATTTGACACCTTAATGTAATAGAAATTTGTTCTAGATGACTGTATATGTCATTGAAACTATGTTATATTCAATGTTTCCATTAGTTCATGTATTTGCATGCAAAATTAACAAACAACGAACAATACATTTATTTATTCACCATAGCTAGCATCCTTTTAACCAAAATAAAGTCCTTATTCTTTACTGAAATGTTAACATTAGTATTTATAATATTAACATAAGTTATTATTAGTTCATTATTAGTTCATGTTAATTAATATATGAACTAACATTCACTTAAAACCTTATTGTTATTGGCATTTGTTCTTTATGACTGTGCATAACTGTAGACTATAGACAAATGGATTTACAATGTCATTAAAACAGTTATATTTAATAAGTTTCTATTAGTTCATGTATTTGCAAACATTAACAAATAGATAACAATACATTTATTTATTCATCTTCATTAGCATAAGTAATTCTAAATAAAGTCCTTGATTGTTAGTTCTTGTGCATTATTAAAATGTTAACAATTTCAAGTTTGGGTTTTATTAATGCAATAGTAAATGTTGAACTATAAGTATTGATGTACTGTTCATTAGTTATAAACTAACTAACATTTATTTGACACCTTAATATAATAGAAATTAGTTCTAGATGACTGTCTATAAATGCAGTCTAGACACAAATGAATTTACAATGTCATTAAAACTATGTTTTATCCAATAAGTTTCCATTAGTTCATGTATTTGCATGCAAAATGAACAAACAACAAACAATTCTTTATGTATTCACCATAGCTAGCTTCCTTTGAACCTAAATAAAGTCTTTATTCTTTACTGAAATGTTAACAGTACCAAGTTATTAGTTCATTATTAGTTCATGTTAATTAATATATGAACTAACATTCACTTAAAACCTTATTGTTATTGGCATTTGTTCTATATGACTGTGCATAACTGTAGACTATACACAAATGGATTTACAATGTCATTAAAACAGTTATATTTAATAAGTTTCTATTAGTTCATGTATTTGCAAACATTAACAAATAGATAACAATACATTTATTTATTCATCTTCATTAGCATAAGTAATTCTAAATAAAGTCCTTGATTGTTAGTTCTTGTGCATTATTAAAATGTTAACAATTTCAAGTTTGGGTTTTATTAATGCAATAGTAAATGTTGAACTATAAGTAATGACTGCTGTACTGTTCATTATTAGCTCATGTTAATTAATAAACTAACTAACATTTATTTGACACCTTAATGTAATAGAAATTTGTTCTAGATGACTGTGTATAAATGCAGACTACACACAAATGAATTTACAATGTCATTAAAACTATGTTATATCCAATAAGTTTCCATTAGTTCATGTATTTGCATGCAAAATGAACAAACAACAAACAATACATTTATTTATTCACCATAGCTAGCATCCTTTTAACCAAAATAAAGTCCTTATTCTTTACTGAAATGTTAACAGTTATTAGTTCATTATTAGTTCATGTTAATGAATATATGAACTAACATTTACTTAAAACCTTATTGTTATTGGCATGACTGTGCATAACTGTAGACTATACACAAATGGATTTACAATGTCATTAAAACTGTTATATTTAATAAGTTTCCATTAGTTCATATATTTGCTAACATTAACAAATAACAAAAAATACATTTATTTATTTACCTTTGTTAGCATTAGTTAATTAAAATAAAGTCTTGTGCAGTTTTTAAATGTTAATAATTAACTAAAACTCACTTAATGTAATAGACAACTGTCGTGTAGACTGTGTATAAATGCAGACTACACACAAACAAATTTACAATGTCATTGAAACTATGTTATATTCAGTGTTTCCATTAGTTCATGTATTTGCATGCAAAAAAAACCCCAAAAAAATTAACAATACATTTGCGTATTCATCTTTGTTAGCATTAATTCATTAAAACAAAGTCCTTTGTTGTTAGTTCTTGTGCATTATTAAAATGTTATAAATTAACATGCACTTAAAACTTTAATGCAATTGGTAAATGTTCTATATGACTGTATAAATTCACAAACAAATGAATTCACAATGTTATTTAAACTGTTATATTCAATAAGTTTCCATTAGGTTATGTTTTTGCATGCAAAATTAACAAACACTATATTTATTTATTCTTCTTTATTAGCATTAATTAATCTAAATGAAGTCCTTATTATTAGTTCTTGTGCATTATTGAAATGTTAACACTTCCAAGTTTGGATTTTATTAATGTACTGGTTAATGTTAAACTATTAGTAATGAATGCTGTACTGTACTGTTCATTATGCACAAATTTGCTAACATTAACAAATATCAAACAATACATTTATTTATTTACCTTCGTTAGCATTAGGTAATTAAAATAAAGTCTTGTGCATTATTTAAATGTTTTTAAATAACTAAAACTCACTACTAGTAAATGGTAAACTATTAGTAATGTACGCTGTACTGTACTGTTCATTATTAGTTCACATAATTAATAAATGAACCAACATTCTCTTAAAACTTTAATGTAGGCTTTTGTTCTATACGGCTGTGTATAAATGCAGACTACACACAAATGAATTTACAATGTCATTAAAACTATGTTATATTCAATAAGTTTCCATAACTTCATGTATTTGCATGCCAAATTAACAAACAATAAGCAATACATTTATTTATTTATTCACCTTTGTTAGCATTAATTAATTTAAATAAAGTCATTTTTTGTAAGTAAGTACTTGTGCATTATTTAAATGTTGTAAATTAATTAACATTCACGTAAAACCCTCATCAAATGTTCTAAATACAGTTGAAGTCAGAATTATTAGCGCCGCTGTTTACTTTTTTCCCAAATTTCTGTTTAATGGAGGGAAGATTGTTTCAGCACATTTCTAAGCATGATAGTTTTAGAAACCTATTTCTAATAAGCAAAATACTGTCAGAATAAGAAATGTCAGAATAAGAAAAAAGCTTAAAGGGGCTAATAATTTTGTCCCAAAATTGTTTTTTAAAAAATTCATAACTGCTTTTATTCTAGTCGAAATAAGACAAATAAGACTTCCTCCAGAAGAAAAAATATTATCAGACCTACTGTGAAATTTTCCTTGCTCTGTTAAACATAATTTGGGAAATAAAAAAAATAAAAAAGGGGGGCTAATAATTCTGACTTCAACTGTAACTGTGTATAAATGCATTCTATACACAAATATAATACAAAAGTAATTAGCCTGAAAGAAAACAGCATGAAAAAAGCTTGTCCTTTTTTTTTTTTTTTAAAGCAGGATCCTTTCTGTATGTTCCATGCATTAACCATTTGAAATCTGCATAGCAACAAAGCCTCTGCTCCCTCTGCTCCTGAGATCTATACATTACATATCTTAATACAGCCGAAAAACCTCACCCAGCCCTAGAAATGTATCAGTAAATGATGAGCGGAGCATCACACCGACTTTAAGCCGCACCTCTTGAGTTTGAGCGTTTTTGTGCATTGCTTATATAATAACCCGCCAGGGGTGTGGCCACATCAGATTTCCAGAATAAATACTGTATGTCGCCTTTTAAACTTTCATGCGCTCAACCGAGAAGATGCTCAGGTCTCGGCAGAGCAGATGCTTATTGTTTTAGAGTGTAATGTTCTCTCTCTGTCTTTCTGTCTCTCTTGTTCTCCAGTGATGGCCTCTGCTGAGCAGCTGTGTCCCCGCCTGCTGCACCAGCACTGCCCATAGGCACACACACACACACATTTACACACGCCTTTGGGCTCCCTTTCCAACTCCGTCCACACACATACACACATCATGTACAGTGTGGAGGACCTGCTGATCTCTCATGGATATAAACTGCCCAGGAGCGGCCCTGCCTCCTCCTCTTCCTCTGCGCCTTATGACAATCGAAACAACGAATGTCGCCGTGAGAACGTCGTAGAGAACCGGCCTGCCGCTGCTGGTGGTGGCGGGACGCTCAACGGGTTTGGGACGACGGAAGGGGGAGCCGAAGGGAGCACTGGGGTGTACAGGCCAGCGCCAGTCAAGGCTTATCCTGAGAACAACAATAATATCAATGAGGGCCATGAAAGGATTCAGCGCAGATTGGAGGTTCCTGTCGCTTTCCTCGGTGACCTGCAACCGCTGGGTGACTCTCTAGCGACTGACAGTGGGTAAGTGTGCACAACAGTGTTGGAAAATAGTGTGTTTTGTGTAAATTTCTGCTGTAAAAAATGCTGGGTTCCACACAATTCCTTCATGTTGTCCCAACACAAGTCGACTAAATTAACTTACATGATTTTACCAAATTTAAGTGGATGAACATAAAAACAATTAGGTTGATTCATTCATTCATTTCCTACCACTTTTCTGGGGCCGGGTCGTGGGGGCAGCAGTCTTAAGAGAGAACCCCAGACTTCCCTCTCCCCAGACACTTCCTCCAGCTCCTCTGGGGGCATCCCGAGGCGTTCCCAGGCCAACTGAGAGACATAGTCCCTCTAGCATGTCCTGGGTCTTCCCCGAGACCTCCTCCCGGTTGGACATGCCTGGAACACCTCCCTAGGTAGGCGTCCAGGAGGCATCCAAAACAGATGCCTGAGCCACCTCAGCTGACTTCTCTCGATGTGGAGGAGCAGCTGCTCTACTCTGAGCTCCTTTCGGGTGACAGAGCTCCTCATCCTATCCATAAGGGTGCGCCCTGCCACCCTGCAAAATAAACTAATTTTGGCCGCTTGTATCCGAGAGCTTGTCCTTTCGGTCATTACCCAAAGAGCTCATTATCATAGGTAAAAATAGGAACGTAGATTGACCCGTTAATCGAAAGCTTTGCCTTTCGGCTCAGCTCCTTCTTTACCACAAAGGACCGGTACTTCGATAATTTTGTGACACTGTACAACAAATAAATATTTTACATTACTATGAGGGTTGGGTTTAGGGTTGAGGTAGGAGTAGACGCTGATAAAATACAACTAATGTGCTTAATTTAACAAATAAAATACAGTTGAAGTCAGAATTATTAGCCCCCCTTTGAATTTATTTTTCTTTTTTAAATATTTCCCAAAATATGTTTAACAGAGCAGGGACATTTTCACAGTATGTCTGATAATATTTTTTCTTCTGGATAAAATAATTTTATTTTGGCTAGAATAAAAGCAGTTTTAAATTTTTTAAAACCATTTTAAGGTCAAAGAAATTAGCCTCTTTAAGCTAATTTTTTTCGATTGTTTAAAGATTAAACCACTGTTATACAATAACTTGCCTAATTACCCCGATCTGCCTAGTTAACCTAATTAACCTAGTTAAGCCTTTAAATGTCACTTTAAGCTGTATAGAAGTGTCTTAAAAAAATATCTAGCCAAATATTATTTACTATCATCATGGCAACGATAAAATAAATCAGTTATTAGAAATAAGTTATTAAAACTATTATGTTTAGAAATGTGTTGAAAACATCTGTCCGTTAAAAAGAAATTCAGGAAAAAAATAAACAGAGAGGCTAATAATTCTTACTTCAATTATAAATACTTCTAGTTATCTTCTGATTGCAGCTGTATCCCTTCTAGCAACAACGATGGTGCCCATTAACCATCATAACAAATAATATGACCATATTAAGCTGTTTAAAACACAAAATATATGTTTTATCACCTATTTGACAATCGGAGTATCAGAAATTTCACAATATAATTAGAACATCTCTCAATATTTACAGAAAAAGGATACAATACAGAAACAAAATATGATACATACATACAGTAGATCATTGGGGCTGGTGGGTCACGTGATAAACTTGATGCGTCGCCATGAGAACTTGAGGACGCAATGGATTTTTAGTAACGGTCACAAAAAAAAACTCGGTAATTAAAACAAACGCGTGAAAAGGTTAAAAAAGATAAATATTCAAACAAATCTTTTGAGACTCTTCAAGAATTGATTTTAAATGTTTATTATGGTAAAACCGTATTATGTTAACCTTCAAAACAAAATGAGGAATTCATAGTATATTAGAGTCACTTTAAAAAAAAAGATTCACAGAAAAAAAAAGTTTTGTCTTGGTTATCTTTAAACTCTACAGGTACAATTTGTACTGATTTTTGTACTTATTGACGATGTGCAGTCGGCGGATTGGCAATAGTGTGTATGTAGAATTTGCCCTGTGTGTAGGATTGTCTTGGTTGTTGGATGTAATGTAAAGTAAAGTAACACTTTGGATATGAATCATTAGCAAACACTTGAGCAACAACAACACTACCTCGTAGTCCGCCATTGTTGTGTGTGTTTGTTTGCGGTTCTTTAATCTACACCTCCCTAAACACATACTATGCATGTGCATGAAGTCATCATTTTCAGAGGCTCTTATTTTCAGGTGGACTTTTCAGATACAATGCATCCGGAAAGTATTCATAGCTCTTCACTTTTTCCACATTTGTTATGTTACAGCCCTATTGATTAAATTCATTTATTTCCTCTCGTTTCAACACACAATAGCCCATAATGACAATGTGAAAAAAGAGTTTTTTAAATTGTTGCAAATTTAATAAAAATAAAAAACCTGAAAATCACATGTGCAGAAGTACATTTGCTCAATACTTTGTTGATGCACCTTTGGCATCAATTACAGCCTCAAGTCTTTTTGAATATGATGCCACAAGCTTGGCACAACTGTCTTTGGGAATTTTTGCCCATTCCTCTTTGCAGTACCTCTCAAGCTCTATCAGGTTGAATGGGAAGCAACGGTGTTCAGCCATTTTCAAATCTCTCCAGAGATGTTCAATAAGATTTAGGTCTGGGCTCTGGCTGGTCCACTCAAGGACATTCACTGAGTTGTTGTGAAGCCACTCCATTGATATTTTGGCGGTGTGCTTTGGGTCAATGTCCTGCTAGAAGATGAACCGTCACCCCAGTCCTGAGGTCAAGAGCACTCTGAAGCAGGTTTTCATTCAGGATGCCTCTGTACATTGCTGCATTCGTCTTTCCCTCTATCCTGACTAGTCTTCCAGTTCCTGCTACTGAAAAACATCCCCACAGCATGATGCTGCCACCACCATGCTTCACTGTAGGGATGGTATTAGCCTGGTGATGAGTGGTGCCTGGGTTTCTCCAAATGTATTGCCTGGCATTCACTCTAAAGAGTTCAATTTTAGTCTCATCACACCAGAAAATCCTTCCGTCTGGCCACTCAACCATACAGGCCTGATTGGCGGATTGCTGCACAGATGGTTGTCCTTCTGTGTGGTTCTCCTCTCTTCACAGAAGAACGCTGGAGCTCAGACAGAGTGACCATCAGGTTGTTGATCACCTCCCTGAGTAAGACCCTTCTCCCCTGATCATTCTGCTTAGATGGCCGGCCAGCTCTAGAAAGAGTATTGGTGGTTCCAAACATCTTCCAATCAAGGATGATGGAGGCCACTGTGCTCATTGAAACTTTCTGAGCAGCAGAAATGTTTCTGTAACCTTCCCCAGCCTTGTGCCTGGAGACAATCCTGTCTCAGATGTCTACAGACAATTCCTTTGTCTTCATGCTTGGTTTGTGCTTTGACATGCACTGTCAACCCTGGGACCTTATATAGACAGCTGTATGCCTTTTCCAATCATGTCTAATCAACTGAATTTACTACAGGTGAACAATGAAGCATGAAACATCTCAAGAATGATCAGTGGAAACAGAATGTACCTGAGCTCAATTTAGAGCTTCACGGCAAAGGCTGTGAATACTGATGTACCTGTGATTTTTTAGGTTTTTTATTTTGAATAAATTTACAACAATTTCGAAAAATACTTTTTCACATTGTCATTATGGGGTATTATGTGAGGAATTTTGAGGAAATAACTGAATTTAATCCATTTTTCAATAAGGCTGTAACATAAAATGTGGAAAAAGTGAAGCGCTATGAAGACTTTCCGGAGGCACTGTATATAAAAATGTCATTTTCAGTCACAAAAATGCTGTTATTATGTAAACAAACAGGCAAATACTCATATAAAGTAACCAGATTTTGGTTGCCCTATCATGATGTTTTCTCATTGATTGACTGAAAAAAAAGGGTGATTCCACTGATCTTGTTTTTTATTATCAATGTCTTGAAGTTATAATGCAGACTCTAGAATTATAATTGAATTCAGAACAATTATTACTGTATTAGGGTTATCATAAAAAACTACATTTCTGATATTATGCACCAGTTCAATTAATGATTTGCTTGACAGGTATACCATTTAATGATATATGCTATTCGGTTTCTGTTTTTTTGTCATCTTTTTAGAATTGGAACTTCCAAATTGATGTACGTGATGTGAGTGAATCACTTTTCTGATCCTTTCAAAACAACTTAGCAAATCCTCAGTGTGAATCTTTTGATCATTCTGTTTGAATAATTCAGACAGGTCACTCACGTTCTGAATCGTTTGAAGCAGTTTCTTGCTCAGCAAACAGCATGTGTCAAACTTGTCAGAAAGATTGCTGGATTAAGTGGATATTTAGCCTTCAAAACAAAACCTGAAAGTACCTTCTGGCATTTGGCAGCATTGAAGTCTTCATTAAGACTGATGCTCGGGTGTGTGTATAGGTAAAGACATTTTTTAAACATGTATCTGGTACAGTATATGTGCTCAATGAAGCACACACAAACAAAATGAAAAGCTGTATTAAATAACCTCCAAGAATTTTATTAACCCTTGTGCATTGTTTAAATTCACAACCGTTTTGTTATGTTTGGGATTATACATCATACAGAACATCCACTGAATTAAACTGCTGTAAAAATGCATCAGATAAATATTTTTTTCAAATATTTTTGCATAAAACTACTAAATGGTTTTAAAAAATGACAGGATTTTAACTCTTTAATTGCCACGCTCATAAATGATGTCACTGATTTGGTGGAACAAATTAGGTATTTTTAATATAAAAAGTAATTGTGGACTGAATTACAGTCTTAGAAATGTAAATGATTAATAACATTGCCTTTGATGCATTGTTAAATTACATTTTTTTTCTCTCTAGTTTACTGCTGGTGGCTGTTTTTGCCCCATTGAATTCTATTATAACCTCATTTGTTGGTGGATAAATACACAGTCTTTGTTTTTGTTTACTCAGTGTAGTTCTGACAGCTGAGATGCATGTTTTGAATTTTAAGGTAGGTGTGCAAAGGTCACTCTCACACACATAGACACACTTTAGTTTCCTCTTTTACACCATATAAAATCCAGAAACTAAGCTTTTTTCTTGCACAGGGCTATATCTAAAGAGTTAATGCTGCCAACTGATAACAAACCTTATCTTTTCCCAACAGGAAAAACCACCAACAATCAAAAATGCATGATTATATGGTGTCGTAGTTCTGCATTTAAAAGTTAGTGGGGCAAAAACAAAAACAGCTACCAACAGTAAATTAGATGTGAAAAAATGTAAATCAATCAAAAACAATGCATCAAAGGCAATGTTGTTTTACAAAATAAATAAATAAATAAAAAATCCAGTCCACAATTACTTTTTATATTAAAAATACGTAATTTTGTGTGTTTTTTTTTCACCAGATCAGTCACATCATTTAATAATTTGCCAATAAAAAAGTTAAAATCCTTTTCTAAGCAATTTAGTAGTTTTGACCAGGACTGAGGTTGATAAACAGATTTCTGCAAAAAATTTAAAAAATAAATCACGTTTTCATCCCAAACAAAAGGTTAGTAAATTTACCCAGAGTATATCATTGAGTTTTTTAATAATGTCAAAGCATTTTCTCAAAATATGTGTCAAAATAAGATTAGTCACCAAAAATCATTCTGCTAGCTGAAACACAGAAAAGGTTAGGGCCAAAATAAGACTCAAATTGGATGCCCAGACTGGATGAAAACATCCCCAACAGTACATAAGGGTTAAAAAAGTTATACATCATTGGTGTTAATTACTCATAGAAAAAATGTTCGAGATGTGTAATATTTACCTGTAAGTTACAAAAATGCCTATTACAAATCAAAACAATTAACATTTCTTTGCGGGTTATTGATTAATAGATTATGGATGCAATCTACAGTATGAAACTTAAACAGTGTTGTGATGACCTTAACCAGTGCTTGCAGTGATTATAGGTGATGTTTATTCAGATCCTCTAAAATTTAAGATGTGTAGTAATAACAACTAACACGTGTCCAAATATGTTTAATTTTATTGGAAAATTCAAATCTTAAGGACAACTTTCTACCAACAAATCTTAAACTTTTAACTGTCAGTCTTAGACTGCACTAATACAATCCAATTAAAACAGACTTGATCCATATTTCAAAGCGATAGCCTAATCCATTGCACCCTAATTTTATTACAGAAATTTAGGCACTCTGGCAACATTGATGTACTGTAACCTGAAAGGAAGCAGCCATGTGAATGTAATCACATACAGTAGCTTGCCTTGAGGTGCTTTTTAAATGACAATAAACGAACGACATACAATATAATCCTTTTTTCGCCTTTAAATATAGTACAGTATTTTTGAATAAAATAAAATACAGTATTTTTTAATATCCTGTTGTATCCCTGTATGTTTATATTTACACAGAATTGGCATCAAAAATATTTTATTTCTATTATGTTTTCAGTGTGTTATTAGCATGTCAACAATACTGCTATTTTATAATGCAGCAGCTATAGATTAACTAATTGATTATTAAATTGTGTTATGTTACTGATTATAACTGGTTATATAAAAATCTTTATAGAAAGTTAAATCTGTTAAAAAAGCTTGACTTTTCTGATTCCCAAATGTCCTGTACTGTGCCATTTGTCAGCTGTCTAACATAAAAGAACTATTTGAATGTATTTTTGTTCAGTTCTATGACCTAATCAGTTTAATAATACAATAATATAAATAAAAACTTGTAATTATTTAATTTTAAGATGGAAAAAAATCTAACTTTTAAAGCAAACGTGGCAGAAGAAAAAAAGTAATTTATTACAGCTTTTGAAAATGTACCAAAAATTCATCAAAGATTTGTCTCTGTTGCTAGGTTCTACGATGCACCCAGCCTGACCTTCTCTGAACATCCAGATGAGCGAGATATTTCATTTTGGAGAAGGAGGGGACAGGACTTCAGTGCTCTTTTGGACTATGCTGATCCCAGGGAGCTCAGAGTGTCTGGGGGATTGTGGCGAGGTCCAGTTTTAGCTGTTGAGGAGCTGAGAGGTGAGAGGCCACTTGCACGCTGGGAGGAAGGCCCATGGATACGAGAACCAATAGACTCAGGCCCAGAGACTCTGCGTGTGACTGGAGAGAGAAAATGTCAGAGTCTGGGCACAGAGGAATGGCGGCCTGCAGTGGGCTTGGGTCGGCAGCTGTCAGATGGAGAGGCTGAGCATTGGTCTCTGGAACAGCAACACCGTCTGCGACCTGCAGAGGGCAATGTATCAGCCACAGTGCGAGCCAAATCCCAGTCACTCCCTCGAGTCCTTTCACCTGAGGATCCTCACTATGGAGAATTGCCTCAGACTAGTGCCCCGAATCAGCCCCCTACACAAAGAAGTAACAGCTCTGCTCCATATGGTCGATTCCACGGTGAATGGCCTGCAGGGGAGAGGTGGAGTGGTCAGACACAAAGTCACGGTCCTTCTGCAGTTGTACCAAAGCCACGGTTCAGCCGCCCCGTCAAGCCCCCGTCTTATGAGACTCACCAGCAAAACAGGGGAAGCTGGGAAACGTTGTCTTCTGAACCTGTGTCCAAACCCAGAGACCGCGCAGTGTGCTTTACTCAGAGTTTTGAGCCACTTAGAGACCGCTCTGGTTGTTATTCTCAGAGTGCAGAGCCTATAAGAGATCGGTCCATTTGCTTTTCTCAGAGCGCAGAACCAATTCGCGACCGCATGATAAGCCACTCTCAAAGTGCTGAACCACTAAGAGACAGATTTATCAGTCATTCACAGAGTGCTGAACTTCTGCGCGATCGTTTTTTCACCCACTCACATAGTGCAGATCTGTTAAGGGACAGATCCCTTTGTTACTCTCAGAGCTCAGAACTGCTACGAGACCGGTCCATTTGTTACTCCCAAAGTGCAGAGCTCCTGAGACCAGAAGCATATAGAGATCTGTTTTACCATGAACTGACTGGCATGGAGCCTCCTGGTTACATCCCACCCCCCTCCTATAGGAGATTCCTTCCACCCAGGAGTGGGCAGAACTACAGAGCAGATTCTGCTCTTGTCAGATGGAAACGTGAGCCTGTGAGTGCAGAGATGGGCCAGTGGTTTTCCAGGACCTCAGGATTGTCATGGTCAGAGCGGCGTGAAGACAGGAGCATGGCAGTAATTCCAAGAAGGCCTGTGCATCCAGGGCCTGTTGTACCTAGCCGCTCAGGACTTGTGCAGTATGTCCCATTTGATGACCCGCGCATCAGGCATGTCTCAGGGGGGCCCTCTGGAAACTCGCTCACAGACGCGGACAAGATCCGACACGTCAACAAAGAGCTTCCCTGCGCTGCAAATTTAGGACAATCCACACATGATAGTGCCTTTCTCCCTTCACAGGGACAGAGTCTCAGCACGGACACTAACAAACCGGCTCTTACTGAACAGGAGAATTCTAACCGCTGGCACAAAGGAACGAACAAAGGCAGTGAAACTGTAGCACCTGAGCAGAGCTGTGTCAAGTATCCCGCAGCCTTTCAGCCTAGGCCCCTGCAACCAATCATTAAAACAGAGAGAAATACAGACCAGCAGGCTAGAACTGACCGAGTTACTGACCAAGTCAAGGTTGAGAGAGTAACAGAGCCGGTCAAAGTGGAGAGAGGTGCTGAACAGACAAGAACAGACCAGGTCAAAGTAACTGAGCAAGTGAAACCAGAACGAGTTACAGACCTGATCAAACTGGATAAACCTACTGATCAGGTAAAGCCAGACAGGTTTACAGACAAACAAATAAAGGTAGAAAGATTAACTGACCAGATACAGATAGACAGGTTCCCAGATCAGGTCAAGGCTGACAGATATACAGATAAACAAATTAAACCAGAAATCAAGATAGAGAAAGTTCCTGAAAAGCCCATAAAAACAGACAGAGTTTCAGACAAGCAAAGTAAAGCTGAAAGACTCTTAGAGAAACACTTGAAGATTGATAGAATTTTAGAAAAACAACTTAAAGCAGATAAAATACTAGAAAAACAATGTAAACCTGACAAATTTACTGACAAGTTGATCAAGGCTGACAAGCAGGCAAAAGGAGATGCCGGTACAGACCAGATAAAAGTTGAGAAGATTACTGACAAGTCTGGAAAGGCTGACAAATCCATGGATAAAGGTTCATCAGAGAGTGTGTCAACTGTAAAGATAGAACCTGTCCAGGAACCAGAGAAAAAGAGTGTGAAAAAGAAACTTAGTGAGACAATTTTTTGCCTTGTGTCTGTCCCACTTTCACAGTCCAGTTCAAAATCTCGAGATCAAAACAACAATGAAGAGAAAGAACCAGACTCTCCTCCAATTCCTCCACCTCCTCCACCAAGCTCCTCTAGTGAAAACAGCAACACCCTCGGCTCCCTGCCAAACCAAAGCCTCAAAAGCACATCCACCACCTCCACTGACCTGGAGCTGCAAGCACTCACACTTGGCAGTGGGTCCAGTAGCATAGCTACAAGGAGAAGTCACCGCAGAAGGAACTCGCGCTCTAGGATCATCAAGCCAAATCCACATGATGAACTCAGACGGTATTCTGGGGCATGGCCAGGGGACCAGTACCGTGATCAGGAGACCCAAACGAGCCCTGAGCCTACTAAGAGCAATGCAATTCCATGTCCCACCAATACAGAAGCACAAGATGGTCATGTTGCCCCAGAGGTAACAGCTCCTGCTGAGACCGCATTGGTGACTGCAGGGCCTGCCCCAGGGGCCCTTGGAGCTTCATCAGCTCCATCGGCTCCATCTGCTCCATCAGTTCCATCTGTTCCACCAACTCCAGGAGCTCCACCAGCTTCAGGAGCTTCAGACCCCAGCACCCCTTATGGGTATCCCATGAAGGGACAGAAAAGCTTAAAACCATCCAGCAACAGTGCTTTTTCACGGACAGGTACCTTCTCCAAGAGCACAGGATCTCACAGACCTCCATTACATCCACCGCCACATCCACCACCCCCTCCTCCAACCCAACCTCCATCTCAACCTCCTCCCCCCCCTCCAACACAGCCTCCGTCACCACCATCAGATCTAACTGAGGATGCAAAGTCAGCCTTTGGGCCAAACCCTGAAAACTCCGGCCAGTTTTTGCTGAAGCCTGTGTGCAGGCGTCCATGGGATGCCATTGAGGAGCTTGATGCCATCAATAAGGAGGCGCAGGAACAAGCAAGTAAACGTCCCAGCGTGGATCAGTGCATTGAGGATCTTAATGAGGCCTACAAAGATATTATGGAGCTTAGCACTGCCAGCAATAACCTTCCCAATCGTTCCTCCATGCAAATCCCTGACCGCATAAAATCCAGGTTATCTTCAGATCCGCTTGGGATGCCTGCAACCAGTCTTCGTCCTAGCTTGGTACCTGGAGGTGACCCAGAATACCGGGAGGTGAAGAGTGCCTTTTCCCGGCCATCAACTGGGAAGAGTGTGAGCTTCAGCAAACAGCTGAGAGAGGAGATTTGTCCTGCTCCTCCCCCACCAGAACCAGGCTTCAGAGATTACAAAACAGTCATGTCCCAGATAACCCAGCGCAAAGCCTGCAGATCAGTGAAGCTGGACATCCCAACCCCTAAAGAGACCCAAAGAGATGATGATTTGACTCTACAAACCGCCTCCACCTCTTCCATGTCAGCTGAGGTCCCATGGGCAGAGAGACAGCCCATGCAAGATGCCTCCACTTTAACCAGCCCCCCAGATTACGAGCACATCTGTCAAACTCTCCAAATGGCCCGTGAATCTGGGGCTGTTAGTCGTGCTTCTGTCAAATCCAAACCTGGAAGTGCCATGAGCATTGAAACCCCTCAACATGTACCCCTACCTGGAAGACCTCCAGTAGATTCTGAGCAGCCATGTTGTTCATCAGCATTAGAAGCAAGACAGGAGCCAGTCTCAATATTCAGGGAGGAAAGAAGCTCAGGCTTTAGAAGGGTAACAAGCAACTCTAATAGGTTCCTTAATAACAGGGGTGTGCTCTGTAGCCTTGCAACCGGAAAGCCGGTTGGTGATAAAGCAGGTTTAGAGGCAAACCCAGAGGTACCTGCTGACTGGCAAATGCAGCTTTTATTAGCCGAAAAGCATATTGCTACTCTGATTACAGGAGAGGGAACAGAAGAAGACCTTGATGAGTCAAACAAGGTTGTAGGTGATAAAGACATTTTTGCAAGTGAGTCAGTTGAGAAAGAAGTGATTAACATTTTTGCCTCTGATATTAAGGACGATTCTGAAAGTGCTGGGCAGAAATGTTTAGAAGTAAAAGAAACAGAAGCAGAGCAAAAAGAGACACCTGAAAGCCAACAAACTGAAGTGAGAGAAACTTTGAGAGAAGAGAACACGTCTAGGGAAAAGACGCAATCGGAGCAAGAGAAATGTGAGCAGAATGACCCTGTTACTGAGGGGACGGATCAAAAGAGTGATATGACCTCAGAGGCAATGAAAGAACCAAATGTAATCTTGAGAACGAACAAAGCTGCAATGTGGACTCATTCAGGTTTGGATTCAGAGCACCGTCCTGAATTTCCACCAGAACACCTACCACTTTCTGTGCTACCTTGCACTAATCGTAGACTGTCTCTAGGTTTGGACTGGGAGAAAGGTGGGTGGGAAGGGGAAAGTTTGGGCCAAGGTGGATTCTGGTCTAAAGAGAGGCGGTCTCTTGATGCTGAAAGATGGGGTATTGGTGGGGAGAGCTGGGGTTTAGATGATGATAGGCAGGAAGGTGGTGGTGAAAAGCGGGGGCTGGGGGGTTGGCGGGGGTGTGGTATTGATGGGCAGGGTACAGATGACTCAGACTGGGAGTTGGATAAAAATACTCAAGCCACTGGTGGCAAAGAAGCGGATTCAGGTACAAAACAGGAAACACTTGCACAGGGTCTCGGTGAAGAACATTGCAGTCCAGCCTCTAGCACTGACAAAATAGAGCAAAAAGAAGTTATTGTTTGTGAAAGAACTGATAAGGGGGATAGTCGAGTTTCAGATTGCCAGGTTTCAAGTGTAGATAGACGGAGCCGTGGACTTTCCCAAAGAATAGAGGCTCTTTTTACAGCCCCACCCGGGCATGGCTCAAAGGAAAGACTTGCACGCATGAAGGAGGTGGACACTGTCTCACGAATGAGACGCCTTAGCCTCCGAAGCTCAGACTCTTGGGATGGACTGCAGGGGGTCGGAAGGTGGGAAGATTACGAAAAGGAGGGAGAATGCCCCCCTCCTGACCCAGAGTATTCTTCAAACATCACAAAATTAGAGGATACAGAAGGCAGCACCCTCCCTGCAGTCATCAGTGAACCTAAAGAAACCAAGGAGGACCAGGAAATCCTAAAAGGTGTGGAAATTTTACAGCAACATTTTTCTTTAGCACTCTGTAGATATTATTATTATTATTATTAGCATGTGTTTTATGGTATAATAGTACAGTCCAGTCTTTTTAAGGTTAATGCTAGTATTGATTCGTGTTACTAATTAAACAGACTAATTTTATTAGTTGTTTGGAAAAGTACATTCATGAGGGTTTGTCTTGTTTGGAAAAAAACCTTGCATTCAAGTTCTGGTTGTCTTTATGCTGAATGGTCACTAGAGAGAGCTCTACAGTTCAGTTCCCAAGTTGCCCGTCAAATTTGATTCAGAATTTAAGCCAGGGGTGTCCAAACTCGGTCCTAGAGGGCCGGTGTCCTGCAGATTTTAGCTCCAACTTGCCTCAACACACCTGCATGGATGTTTCTAGAAAGCCTAGAAAGAGCTTGATTAGCTAGCCCAGGTGTGTCTGATTGGGGTTGGCACTAAACTTTGCAAGACACCGGCCCTCCTGGACCGAGTGTGGACACCCCTGGTTTAAGCCAATCAAGCATCAACCACTATTATTACTTTACACAAACATTGATTTTCAGTGAATTGATTACATTGTTTTTCTGTTCTGTTGGTAATTTCAGAGTCACAGAAGCCCAGCCAGGTGGAGAGGTCATAGCTGAACCCTAGAGGTCAGAGGTCATCCAACTAAGGGCCAGCCTCCAGCACTGTGACCTGGCTGTCTGCAAAATGCCTTCATCCTCATATGCTTTTGAAACATCATCAGACATTGACACACACATACACACACAACATTAGACACAAACACACTGAGCGATGCATCTATCTAATACACATGTCTGTGTGTATAAAAACATGCACACACAAACTCAACTGACACACAAATACTCAAAGTCATTGTCATGTATGCAGACGCTCACATGCATTCAGAACACCTTTCAACACCTCACCACACTGAGACATCTGAAATGGCCTTCTACTCCGACAAGAGCATTGTGTATCAACTCCACTCCACGCCCACTCAGTTCCAGCTCTGCTGGCTTTCTAAGTGTTGCTGTTCCACTGCCAGAGGGAGGTTCCCAACAAACCCCACCCCATTCATATGTTAGTCCTCATCATGCGCCATGTTTCTCAACTCCTTGTCCCTGTCATTTTTCTTTCCCCTGCAATTTTCCGTAAAAGTTTGGTTTATTGGATGTTTGTCTGGTGTGTTACTCAGCAACAATGAACATGTTGTTGTGTTATGACGAAGTTAAAAAACTACTTGTTGCAATCTTTTTTATAAAATAGACTGTTCAAAAAGTATGACAGAACAATCGATGATGTTTTAAAACCAGCTACAATATCGTATCATGTCCTACTCGTTCCAAACAACCTATCATTTTCAGTGTTCTTTCCTCAAACCATTTCCTTCCTTACATCTTTGCATGTTCTTTCCTTCAGCCTTTTTATCAAACACCTCATTCTTCTTACTAACACTTCATTTCATCTAGACACTGTTATCTCTGCGCACGGTGTTTTGCTAATAATGCAATATCGTTATTTGTGTAGTTGCTCATCAAACTTACAATATCATCCGATCAGTATTAGCTGCATCATATCTCTGCATTCAAGGTCTTGTGCTATAATTCCTACTTTCTATGACCATATTAGATTTACATAGTCTTTTGTACTTTAATCACTCTTTATTTATTGAAGTTTCCGTTGCAAAGTATTGGACCAATCAGAAGATGTTTAAGGCAGGGAAAAGCCTCCTTTCCACTGCACAAGACAAATGACAAGCAACATACCAGAAGTCATTCGTTTTCAATGGAGAGTAGTCTGAGAACTGCGTGGAGTTTCGATCATCTCCGTATGCAGACCATTCACACAGAACCTGTTTTTCCATTCCAGTGTGCTACTTTTTGCACACTTTTGATTGACATGTATTTTGAAGCAGCTTGCACACGATCGCAGTTTTTTTTAAATGGAGCGTCAAAATAAAAAATAAATGAACTTTTATGGACAGTGCTACTCATTAGTGTCGGTTGCAAAGCACTGGACCAATCAGAAGAACTTAAACTTAGCTAGTTTTTGTTGGCATGATTTTTATTTAACCTTAACTCCCTTTTTAAAAAACAATTCCTAAACGCTCCATCTCACATTTTTAAACACAAAGACATGTTCTGTGTGAATGGTCAACGCAATCTCACGGCAATTCGTAACTTTTTAATTTAGTGGCTAATTCGTATGAATTCGTAAAATCTAATTTATACAATTTAGTTTGATTTGCTCATCACCCAATGACGGTTGGGGTTAGGGGTGGGGTTGGGTGCCACGCCTCCTTTTTAAAATCGTGCATTTTCGTACGACTGAATTTGTACGAATTCGTACGAATTAGCCACTAAACTGACAAAACGTAAAATACTTACGTTTCCTCGTGAGATCACACTGGAATAGCCCATTAAAACAAATCATAATACCATGTCCTAACCAGATGCATTCAACAACCTAAGATTTTTGATTAGTTATTACAGTTTTTTTTCATCATTTAGCCCAAAATTAAATGAAAATAAATTCGGATCCGAATAGACCGTATGTGATCGGCCGACCAAATGTGATATATTTCAGCGTTGTCCATGCAGGTTTATGTGTGCGAGAAAACGTCTATATTGAGAAATAAGTAATAAAAAAAATATATTTTTTTGTTGTCTCCACATTCATACAACAAGCTCTTGCTTTTGCATTTCTTTATTTCAGACAATGGTGTACGACAGAACTAAAAATTATTTGCGACTGCCACAAGGGGGCGTATTCCAACAGTTGTGTCTAAATGTGTGCAGTGGAAAGGCAGCTAAAGAGTTGCTACTTTTTTGTTTACGGTAGCAAGTAAAAAAAAACAATCTTGCGGTATCTCACGTTTTTAGACACAAAGATGTTATGTGTGACTGGCCCATTAAAGCTAACCATGTTCTTATGCTGCGTTCACACCAGACGCGGATGAAGCATCAAACGCGAGTAATTTACATGTTAAGTCAATGCAAAGATGCGAATAGACATTCTGAGGTGCGATACGCACGAATGAGGTGGCACGAATGGCTTGTTTCTCGCATATCGCTCAAATTTGACAATCTAAACTTTAGCGGACATTCGTGCCACGTTAACCAATCAGGAGCTTTCTCTTGTAGGGGCGTGCTTATAGAGCTTGTAGCGCCTTTTGTGGTGTCCCCAATCCTCAAACTGGGCTCGGCTCAGTTGGAAGCACCGCTGAAAGCTTCCATCATCCATGTACAGTTTCTGGAGGAGTTTAAAACTCACAGAGCTGGGTGCACCTCTGAATGGATCTAGTGAACTCAGTGGATCTAGTGTCTATTGTTCAGTGAATTTGACGTGCGAATGAAGCGGATTTGATGCATGAATGAAGCGAGTCAACTCAAAATGTTCACGCGTCTATTTATATGCGAATAGCGCAATACATCCACGCGTACCGCATCTGGTGTGAACACAGCATTAGAATTAAGTTATTAAATTTTTTTAATATTTCAGCCCAAAATCAAATTTAAATAAATGGGTTTGAAAGAAAGAATAATATTAAGCATACAGAAAACAAATGTGGCGGTTCAATTTACTGTGGCAACCCCTGATAAATCAGGGACTAAGCTGAAGGAAAGGAAGGAAGAACAAAAGTAATCTTCCTCAATAGCCCAAGTAATCAGAAATACTGATGGGTAAAATAATAAAATCCTTCTTCTTTCAAATAAACTAAAGTAATTGCTTTGCAAAATGATTCACCGATCCCAATAATCAATGGCCACCAGTTTCCAATAATCCCATCAGTTTTAGCAAAACTATGTCTCTGTATTCAAGGTCTTGTGCTATAATTCCTAATTCCTAAAACCACAGTAGATTTACACTGTCTATTTGTAATGTCCGCACTGCTTTAGTTCCTGAATTAGGGACCATTCACACAGAACCCGTTTTTCCATTCCAGTGTGCTACTTTTCGCACACTTTTGATTGACATGTATTTTGAAGCAGCTTGCACACGATTGCAGTTTTTTTAAAATGGAGCGTCAAAATAAAAAATAAATGAACTTTTATGGACAGTGCTGCTCATTAGTGTCAGTTGCAAAGCACTGGACCAATCAGAAGAACTTGAACTTAGCTAGTTTTTGTTGGCATGATTTTTATTTGACCTTAAGTTACTTGACTCCCTTTTTAAAAAACAATTCCTAAACGCTGCATCTCACGTTTTTAAACACAAAGACATGTTCTGTGTGAATGGTCAACGCAATCTCACGGCAATTCGTAACTTTTTAACTTAGTGGCTAATTCGTATGAATTCGTACGATCTAATTCATACAATTTAGTTTGATTTGCTCATCACCCAATGACGGTTGGGGTTAGGGGTGGGGTTGGGTGCCACGCCTCCTTTTTAAAATCGTGCATTTTCGTACGACTGAATTTGTACGAATTCGTACGAATTAGCCACTAAACTGACAAAACGTAAAATACTTACATTTCCTCGTGAGATCAGACTGGAATAGCCCATTAAAACAAATCATAATACCATGTACTAACCAGATGCATTCAACAACCTAAGATTTTTGATTAGTTTTTACAGTTTTTTTTCATCATTTAGCCCAAAATTAAATGAAAATAAATGGGCTTGAAAGAAAGAATTATATTTCTGTGGTGGTTCATTCCACTGTAGCAACCCCTGATAAATCAGGGACTAAGCTGAAGGAAAATGTTTTTCCAGTATTTTTCTCAATAGACCCAATGTAATCAGAAATAGAAATGGCTAAAATAAACCTTTTCAAAGCTTTGAGCAATAGAAAGGTGCTTTTTATTCTTCTTCTTTTGAATCAACTGAAGCAATTGCTCAACAAAATGATTCACTGATGCCAAAAGACAATGGCCACCAGTTTCCAATACTCTTCAGAATACCTATTGTAATCGCTTCACATACCAGTATCTTTCCCCACGTTTGAGCGTCACCATGCATAACGTTCACCAACCTGTTCATCTTTCATTCGCCCACTAAAACTTCATAAATTCATCAGTCAGTCCACAATCCTAAAACCAGTCCATGGACGCAGCCTCTACCCCATTAAGTCTTTGTCCCTCCAGCCTCTGTTGACACCCTGGAACTCTCTTGTCGTTTGTTGGAACATGTGGTCCGCTTGTGGAGTGATTTCAAGGGGTGCGTTTACCCCTCTGTCCAATGTGGTTCTGTTTGAGCAGACATGAATGTTTTGTAAACGCTTTTTAAATTTTGGTATATATTGATTTTTTTGACTTTACCAAAACCAGTATGGCAGTTTTACGAGAACTGTTCGATTTATTCATTCATTTTCTGTCATGTTTATGTGTCACGTGAGCTGTTCTGCTCCAAATCAGGAGTCAGTAGGAGAAGCTCAATGGCTCTGAACTGTTTTCATTTTCTGACGAATCGATCAAAGAAACCGTATCGCTCTTGGTTCAAACCCATAGTGCCCTACAACCAGAACTTTTCAGCACACTGTAACGTATGCCCCTGAGTGTGGAGAGCTTTGTACAGTATCGACTTAAAAAAAGAAAAAAAGAAAAGGAAAAAAAAAGTGACGTATTGCAGGTCAAACGGAGACCTGGGTTGGATGAGCGTTTCAGTATTTGATGTATCAACTTTAAAAGCACCTTGTTAACGTATTTTTATCGGGATTGGATTCAAAGAGAATTTTTAGCTATCAAGTGGCCTTTTTGAAACACACCAGTAACGATAAGCCTAAGGAGTTACTTTGAAACACCACCAAAATGTTTGATATCTCAAGTGTCGATTCATGTTTTGAATGTTTGTCTGATATATCAAATACCTTAAATGATGTTGTGTGACCCAGGTTTCACTTTGAATTAAGGAACTATTTTCAGGCGATGTAGACTACTGAAAAAAAAAAAAACAGGGTCCAAATGCGAACACAAAGACACATGTTAGCTACATGTTGCGTGTCTTCACCCTAAACCCCCAGGTAACTTCGGGAAGCAATAAATGCTCACGACGAGTGTTTCGATGACAAGCTAAATGTGTACAGATAATTTTAATGGTTAAACGTAGATGGTTGCAAAGTAGAGGACAGGTCTAGAAATGTAATGATTTGGATTAGTTTAGGTGAAAGATACTCTATGGTAATGTGTGATATGTATGGAACAATTTTAGGAAAAACGAAACTTCTAAGATACCATATGCTACGGAATGGAGAGATACTTTCTGACATCTTAATGCATGAAAGCTTGAGCAATATTGTCCAACACAAAAAGCGCTCATTGGCTGTAGAAAATCTGGGAAGCGGTATGTACTTGTGTTAAAAAGAGTCATCTATCCAAATGTCACTATTAGAAAAGCGTTTCAGTTTGCGTGCGAGTGGGATGAAAGAGTGTGCGCGCGTGCATGTGTGTGTTCGCTTGCTTTTTTCCTTATCATAGTGCCATCCATGCGATTTAACAAAATAATAATGCATTTCACTGAATACTTATTTTTGTTATCATTGGAATTGTTAACTAGTCTGCATTATGTATAAAATAAAAGTATATTTTAAATATTTTAAAAGATATTTTGTATTTAACCATGATAATTAATTTCTCCGCTCTTGGATCAAGTTGGCAGTGTTACGTTGCTGTATAGAATGATAAGAAAATTCTATAATTTTCTAGCGCTTCAAAACAAAAATACAGAAAAAAGCGAAAGATTGAGACCTGCAGCATGTCCCATTTCGGCTTCTCGAGTTTTAGGGGCTCTCATTGTAAACATCGAAGATGTATCACAGGATTTTGCTTCGTTTTTTTTTCTTTGGGAGTTTGTAGTAAATCCTGTAGTCTAGTCAAAAAGGCCAACGGTTGATATTTGACGCTTTGTATAGTTGTAATGTTCATCCAGTTTGCAAATTTAGTGGATCCATTCACAGCTGCCTAGAAACTTGTTACAGAAAAGTGCATACGACGAGGAAATCGCAACATTAAAAGTGACTTTGTTTGATCTTGATTCCGTTCAAAGCTAAATGTGGCCTTATTTTATTTGAGCATCTGTACGTCTTCCATTCAGAATCATGTACTGTTATCATCATGAGTTTTTTCTACCAAGAAACGAGACATAAATCAATAAGTAAACAGTCTTTAGATCACTCAGCCAAATATTTCTTTC